AGTCACGACTACCTCCACTGTCGCAGACATTTAATTTGTTCATAGCCCTTTCGATGATGGGGATGTAAACGGTTTTCCCCTCCGTTCGGATTATTCAGTTGGCCCATTCTCTGTTCTCGCTTTTACGTATTTGCTGTTAAACTTTCCACGATCGAAAATGGGAATCTCACAACCGCGAATGGACAGGATTTCAATAGATCGCCTAGAAGTGCAAGTTGAAGGTATCCAAAATTTCATTGTATTGACCTCAATTCTAGTTCAATCCTCTCTTGAAAAAGTAAAATGGTCCTATGAGAGTTTCAATCGTACCAAGTAGAGAGAAGTTAAGCCATCCCGAAGGATTTGAGGCCAGCAAAAAATCACCAGTCGTGTTACATAAAATTTTTAACTGGGCCTAAGGCTGCACTTCGGTAATTTCCTTGTGGTTTCTCTCCGGCCTCAGAAATTCCATAAGATAACTTTAATTGGACTTCCCATCTAATCATATTGGAGGTACCTCCCTCAATTACAACCAAAACCACAGGGTGTTTACTGAATCCAAAAAAGGGCAATGTCTTGCTTCCGCAAGCATGAAGACGGCAGCGAGTGCTTCTCCTCCCGTACGACCTCCGCCGGCAGTTCGACATGCAAGACATCTACATGAACCCACGTGGGATCAACAGCTACTCTCGTGGGAGTTCTACGTGTGGTTCAAGCCCGGTACGAAACATTGGGCGGTGAAGTGGTGGATTGAGTGGATGGAGAATGGGGATGGGCTGCGTCCGGTGAAGATGATATTGGGCGAGTCGGCGCGGGTGTGGCAGTGGGACGGGGGAGAGTGTCATCGAGTGCGTCGTTCATTCTTTGCTTCGGAGTTCACGGTGAGCTGGCGGAAACTAGTGGCGATTTTGGGGATGGTGTACTTGCTGCGGCTCCAATTGGCAGAGGTGTCTTTAATTTTGACTCTTGAGCGAACATTTTGAATTGAAAAAATCTTGTATATATACCCTGTTGTCTCACACAGATTCCAGGTACAGTTGGAGTGGAGACGTGGGACGTCTTGTAACCCGAAATGGAATCATTCGCATCGAAGCAGCAGGACGATTAATTCAGTATATGAATCTGACTTGAATCTGTCGAGCGTTTCTGGGCACCCCCCAGGAAAATCCTCGTTTCGTGTGGAAAAGGTTCGGCCTAACCTTACAGAGTATCCCATCGCTCGTTCCATTCCGTTCATCGTAGAGATAGTTGGTGAAAATCAAATACCCCTACTGTACTCTCAACCTCTAGGCCGGCTTCTCATCGTAACTGCAGTAGCGCCGGTACAGCCTGTTTCTTGATGTGGCCGCGCTCGATGTTCCTGGCTTGGCGGGCAACCGGAGCCAATGTGAGTCAACAAGTGTCGGCACAGCTTTCACATTCGACGACGATCTCCACCTAGGTCAAGCGGCGCTTCCTCACCTTCCATTTCAGTACTCAGATATATAATTCCAGGATGCCGCACATGTGAACACTCCACCTCCTATCTGCACTTTGATTCGCTTCAAGTTAACCGTTCAGATCTTTTGAATTTATCACTGGTTCTTGGCAAAGAACACCGTCTCCTGGTAAATATACATGCATACCCACCAGTGCAGCCGGACCTTATATGGCCACACTTAGATTCCGTTGCCATTGTTCCCACCAGTTTGATGCCTGTCAAGTTCACTGCCAAGCGAATCTGTCCCATATATAAGGGACAGGCACACCTGTGCTGGATTCATTTGCCCAAACCCTCTGCCCATGCCAGCCACGATTCCAAACACTTTGATCATCTTCGGTAGGTTCTGTGAACTGGACATTGCCGCAGAATTCACCATCCTTTAATGCGTACAGGGGCAAATCCAGAGTCCTATTTCCTCGGCCACGGTCGCCGCTACTCATTCGACGGTGTGCCAGAGGTGTTTGCCAAGCAAGTCCAGGGCACCAATCTACCTGTAACACAGACAGATTGGATCTAGTGGGTACTGGGTGCTTGGAACCCCTCGTCGTCTGATCTTACTCCCTCAGCTTCGACCTCGCTGGAGAAAAATTCATCGGATACAATGATTTTCGGAAGCAATGTTCGTCCTGGCGTCATCATATAATAGCATCTAACTCTCCACCCAGTCTGTCACAGCCCTGACATTAGCGAAGACCTTCTTAACCATATCCGAGCCAGCGGCGCCACGTTCGTCACACTAGGAAACGACGATACCTACTTCATCAAGCATAACAACGGGGGATGGAATGCGAGATTACCCAACACCCATTTACAGAAATTTAACGACCTCAAACCGCATGTCGGAGCCAACTTTGACAAAGCAATCCGCGGTGTACGTGACTTTTCGTCCTCTCCGCCGCCTTCACTCACAGTGAGCGTAATTAGATTCTGTTTGGCCACGAACAGAGCCATATATTCCTATTTTCTGGTGGCTTTGTTGGGTATTTAAACGCCGAAACGCAGCAGGACCCTGATCACCCCCTAACCAAGGTACGGTCACCCTGTACCGCGACTCGTCTGATCTCTCACATATTTCGCAGGTCCTAGTCGAGTTTGGACAGGGGTGGTGTCTTGAGCCGGGCTCGACGCTCTGTCCCTACTCAGATCGTTATTTCTTTCTGAAATTCAAGAAACCGAAAGAAACCGTCATCCAGATGAGATGGTCTCTCCCTCCCTTGATGAGCCAGAAACTCGCCGAGCTGAAAGAGCAAACGGAATCTCCGGAAGATCAAGCTTGTAAGGATTATTTTTGCTTTCAAACTCGTGGCGGTTATCATCGTTTCTAGTCCTGGCGCAGCTGCGAGTGGCGGACATGCAGAAGCAGCAGAACGAAAATGTGAGTACTCAATTTGACCGGGCACTCGACATCACTCACTCCCCCGCTTTCCAAAGGCCTTGGCAATGCAAAAGCTCGTATGTCCTTCTTCTATAGCTGAGGGAAGTCCAGCTTGACAACTCGGTTGGCATAGAATATCCAGCGGCAAATGAACGACTTGAACTGCCAGGCGTTGATCAACGCCGGCAACTCGATCAAAATGGCTACTGGTGACTACGTGGAAGTGAGAAGATGGTAGGTCGCGTATAAATAAATGCACAACTATCGCTCTGGTGTTGGAACTTGGGGGCCGAATCGGAACTTTTAGGCATGAATGAACCTCTACGGGCGGCCTTGTGTTACTTCCTCATATGTAGTACATCGAAATCATTTTACTTAAATCCCTCCAAGTCCATCTGTGCTGTGGACTTGTGGTATAACTCGAACTTGGGGTGGTTGGCCGCTGCCGGCATATTCCTCTTCGAACTCGGTCTGCCAGTAACCTTACATATTCAATTTTCAACATGTTCATTCCTCGGCGTCTGTATGGTAATTCGGCAAGTGCCGGAGGCGAAAATTTCCCATTTTTAGTCTGGACCTCAAAACACATCATCACCTTCACCGCTAAATAGGGTTGGTTTACAACTCTTCCCTCACCTGAACCTATGGTCGAAATAGTTTAGTGGTTGGAAATTTGGTGATGAGAAAGTATAATTTAGATGTGATTGCCAAACAAGGTTTAACAAACGCCGACATCCCTTTTTTTTGATGAAATCCCTCACAATCCGTGTTTTCATTTTTGGCTGGTGAGCCCTACCTGGACCACTCACTCCCCATTCCCACTTGAAACTGCAGCGATGATCGCCGTTGTGAAGTAGTACTCCGTAAAGATATCCCACAAATAACTTCGCTCTCCTGGAGGACTGGGCCCACAAGACACTCACGGCCATTGGGTACGATATGAAGTACACGCAGAGGTGGTATTGCGAGATATGCGGTGAGTACTCTGATAGTGTTTTTTTCTTGAAATATGACTAAATCGATCAGGGGGGCCCGCACGAGAAACTTGGTTCGACTCACGCCCCTTCCTGCTTTGTTCGGAACCCTCATGGTTCATGTGCGTGCCTTTCCTATACATGATCGGATTCATCGAAAGATCGCCCTGATAGATTCACCACCTTTGCGAGGCTGATCGAGGGCCGTGTCATAGGGCCGTAGAGACCCGGTCGCCATCCAGTCAGGCGCGATGCTCCCCGGGCCGCCTTTATATCTCCCTAAGCCGCCTGGACCTGCGATCCCTCTCGCAAGCAGCTGTACCAAATGTCGACGCGAGGAAACAGGCGCACCGGACGTCCCTATCAGCCGATGTGGCGGGTGCAAACTCACCAGGTAATTCGTAACCGAGGCGCCTCCTTTGTACTCACGTCGCTTCCTTGATCAGATTTTGCAGGTACGCTTTCCGATGTCTCTGCTGTGAATTTAGATCCCTAAAATTCCTGCCAGCGTCGAGTGCCAGACAGCAGATTGGGCGCGCCATCGCAAGGTGCGCTAGCTCATAACTTTCAGTCTCGGACATCCTTTCAATGTAGCCTCCATCCAGATATGCAAAATGGTAAAGGAAGTAAAATGGTTTAACTGGGAAGACAATGCGTAGTCGTTTAAGTTGAACGGTTGTTCTCTGTTGAGTGATTAAATTTGATTCCCGTTCCTATCCCCTGCCGTGCTTCATGTCAGGGTCCGTTAAACATCTACCGTTGTGCGATCTTCCGCCACCCCCGTCCGCGCCTCGAGAATGCGGGCGCGCGTATTATATGCCTCGTCATGTATAGCGATAAGTGCTCGGACCGCAACGATTTCTTGTTCACGGTGCGAATGACGTCGGTTACCACCGAGCCCTTTGCAGCCGCGAATACACCCACGTCCCATCCCATCGTTCGATCGCTCGCGTGTCCGCTGCGGCCCGCGGGGTTTCTTCAACTGTGAGTGTAATGGTTCTAGAGAGATAGGCAATTGCAGTCCGCTGCACAAAGGTCGCCCTTAGTTATGGTATAACACTCCTCTGTTTGGAGATTATATTGCTCAGACGTTGTCATTAAATCCCGATTTTTACACTTCTGATGATAAATAGGATTGAGCTTATCTTCAAGAACACCCATAGATATGGCCGAGGCGCAATGCAATCACGGTCTGGTAGTGTAGCGGTAACACATCTTCCATGGATATCAGCGTCGCGGGTTTCCATTCCGAAGAAGTGCCCTGTTCGATCCAGGGTCAGGCCGTTCGGCAGCTGAATCTTTTCTTTTCTTTCTGGAACTTGATGGAACCCGAACGAAGACTAGTAAATACGATGGAGTCGCATTACAATCACGGCCTGGTGGTGTAATGGTTACACGTCCTCACTTTCTAGGAAAAAATGAATCTATGTGAGGAAGTACCAGTTCGATTCTGGGTCAGGCTCATGGTGAAGATGAAGACAGTTTTTGTTCAACTTGGTCAACGTTTCATCGCTCATAAATACGATGTGTCGGATTACAACCACGGCCTGTTGGTGTAGGGGTTACACGTCCTCTTACTGTGACTATTGACGGAAATTAGAGGAAGTCCCCTGTTCGAATCAGGGTCAGGCAATGGCCAGCTTTGCGAGGGTTTTTTTTTCGCTTCCCTCTCTCTCTTTCGTTCCTTTGACACTGGCAGCGAGTTTCTCAAAAAATGCTTTCGATGCAAATACAGACAGCGTGCGGGAAAGATAAAGTGTTGCATCCTCCTCTCAAAATCGAAGCACGAACAGTAAAATTTGTATCATTCAGCTACCAGCCCAAATCGACTACTAAGCAACCCCGCACCGACCCCCACCACTCACACTTGATCCTCCACCATTCTGAGTCGCACTTGCACTGGAAGCCCCTGCCCGCCACTGGTCATGGAACTCAGCGAGTGAAATCAATCGACCCGCTCTCGACCGCGTTGATGCCAATGAAAATGATGAGGAAGGCGATGTTCATGTCGGAGGTGCAGTGCAGGGGCGGGCTTGTTGGCTGCAGGAATTCAGATTGGAGCGGTCTGAGACGGCGAGTCAGTAGGAGGCCATCGGCACAAAATCAGGCAAGCAGGACGCACGTCGGAAAGCCTGTCACGTTCGCGGCAACGGGGCCATGGAACGATTTCTGGCAACCTCGATTTCACACCGGGGGCAAAGGTCGACGCACCTGAAAAGCAGGTGCCTTAAACGCATGTGGTTGGCACCTGGGATCAGCGAATAACAAAGGTGTCAATCACCTCTTTGGCACCTTTGTTTTTGGCTTTGAATTGCCCCCAAAAACAAAGGTGCCATAAAGGTGATTGACATCTTTGTTCCAGGTGCCGACCACATGCAGACCACATGCGTTTAAGGCACTTGGGTTTCACATGTGTCGGTCTTTGCCCGCAGTGTCAACCCCACCTGGCCCCCGTCACGCCGACAAGGATGCTGTAGTCGACACGACCGCGCCGTTGGAGGCGCAAGTGTCGTCGAGCTGGATCACAAGCGCGTGGAGTGCGAGGTCGGCCCGCGGGGAACACCATCCTGTACACATTGGCGTCGATGGTGACTCGTAGCAGGCCCGCGATGTTTCAGAGCGGGTGGCTGATAACGAATGACCCTGCGCAGGGTCAGTGGGATGCTTATTGATTTATGAGGACGTACGTGAAGTCGGACAAGACGCCTCTGGCGAGCCGTCGATGGTCGTTTTCGGTTGTTGTTCAACGGGAGTCCAGTCACCATCAGCCTTGGGACGAATCCCGATACCACGGGTGCAAGGCCAAGATCATAGAATATGCATCGATTATGCCCAGAGATGAGGATTCGGAGTGAGAAGGAATGCACTGAGCCGAGTTGTTCCGAGATTGAAACTTCGCCCCGGCCCGGGCAACCGGCCGCGAACTTCACGACAGCCTTTGAACGAAAACACTCTTCGAAGACGTCAACATGAATACTCTTCGGAGTGCCCGTGTGCGTTTGCCCGGGCGTGCTTTCTTTTTCTGCCTTCCGGTTCCTCGCACGGACGGAGCGTGCTCGGAGTCTCTCCCACTCTCCGAACACTCCGAGTCGACGCGTCTTTCCTCGCGAGCATAGCACCACTCGCTCGACGGGACCGTGGTTTCGTTCTGCGTAGTGAAGCAGAACGACGAGCCTCCCTCCTCCGTGCTTCAACCTGAAGTCCTCGACGCTTTTTGGTTCCATAATAAGGATTCTGAGCTCGGAGCCCCGTCGGGGCGCGTTCAAGTTTGGATCCAACTGCTCGTTCGTTTCCACCCGATCCTTTTCCCATATCTCTGGATCTTTGCGAGGCAGCGGTTGGATTCCGGCCAACGTAGAAATTTTTCCGCACCGGCAGACGTGCCATACAACACAGCTCAAGCTGCAGCTCGCATGGAATTCGTACGGCTCATGTCAAATTTTGATTCTGATTCTTACGCTCGGAGCCGACGTCCCGGGCTCTCACATAAACGCAATGCAACGCGGTGCGCGTAATCGCACTCATGTCGATAAGTTGGTGACGAACTAGCGGCCCTGGCAGATCGACGGGGAAACGTCTACGTACGTCGTCCTTGCCTCTGTCTGGTCCCGTAAATTAGCTACCTCTTTTTATCTTCAGCTCTCGCGCATGTGCAATCGCTTGTACCACGACACGTTCATCCCGCAATACTCTCCATCCAATAATTATTCGCGCACCACCTCGCGGCAACGGTTTCCTCAGCCTTAACTACAGTTCCTTTCTTTGATCATTGTTCAGTGCGTTTCGTCTTCGCTCGCGAGGGCTCGAGATGTTCGTAGAAAGTGAGACGGCCCATGTTGTGTGTCAAGAATAAAAAAACCTTTTTATTACGAGGCGTTCGAGGCGTGCGGGTGATGTCTGCGGACGTGAATTGGGTGTAGAAAGGGCTCCCCAGCAAAGTAGGACGACTGCGAGGGCATCACCATGATTCGGATTGCAGGATCGATGTCGACGTCAGCCGTTGACTCTGAGTGTAGAGACGTCATCCAATATACTCCGTGGCTTGAAGGGTGATTCTGTCATAGCCGCATCGACGGAGCCGCCAGGCCTCACAGAGATCTTGTCTGTCCACGGTATTCAATGGGATCTCCTCGCATTTTAACGGCCCCGGAGAATCAGAACTTACCGTCCTCATCTCAATTTTGCGCGTTGAATATCTTCTCCCTAGGATATTATGGATAAGAGAAAAGAGCCGACTCGGAGAGGACCTGGAACGCAGCTCAGTGGGTGGTGGTAGAAGGCAGGTCGGGTTGTGTGTTCTTGCTATTAGTACGCAACGGTCTCTAGTATGCGCACATGTGACCAGCTGGCTCTTCGCCTCCAACCGCCATCTTGACGCGTTGGAGCGCGTTTTCGATCTCAAGGAGATTTAAATCATCGAAAGCGTTCAAATTATGTCGCAATTCTGGGCCACTACCATCCTACTTGATTTAAAACTAAAATGGTCATTAAATTCGACTCGGATATCGTCCGACGTCAACCCTGTGTGTCGTTGTTGGGATTGCTGCCACTGGGCGTGTGTGCCGGGCGCAACAGGACGTTGGTGCTCTGTCCGGTGGAGACAGTATGCTCGCCTACCGTACTGCCGACTACATTTTCAGACGACAGACACAGGCCCATGCGCCCGATAACATCGTCGATGGCGGAGATGCCTCCGCGGCTTGTCACGGAGTCGTAGGCCTGCTGCGAATCAACAAAGAGCTTCTCGTGGCCTGTCCGATGGCCCAGCACGTCCCTCCCCGTCGGTGAATCCACTGGCTTGAGGGAGGATGCAGGGGAGGCGTACGGGCTGTACGCCGGGGGGTTGAGACGCGTCCGTTGACTGTACGGGCTGTACGCTGGGGGGTTGAGACGCGTCCGTTGGCTGTTCTCCGGTGGAGCATGGTCATGCCTGGCAATAACCTGCATAGCGGGCGACTCGTGACTGGTGTCGGCCATGCGCATACTCGTCCGCGACGTTTTACACGCCAGTAATGGGAGAGGTGACGTGGGGCGCAAAATGAACGGCTCAATGACGTCCTCTCGATTCACAACCTGTATCTCCGAGGGTGGGGACGTGACCCCGCTGGGCGCAGTGTGTCCGGAGCGCAAAGTGAACGGCTGGATGACGTCCTCGAAATTCACGGGCTGTGTATCCGGGGGTGGGGACACATCCTGGTCGAGCGACGTGTGTCCGGAGTGGCAGAATAGCGAGGTACCCGTGGTGGAAATGGAAGTACCCTTGGTGTAAATTGAGGCACCAGTGGTGTAAATTGACCCGGGCCTTTGCGAGCGGGCTACAGACATGCTCGGAGGAATGAGCACTGATTTCTCTGAGATATCCGACAATGAGCGGCCGTGGATTGTTGGGCGGGTGATGTACGAGCGTGTACCGTGTCCCCCACCCACTGGTGATAGCGAATGGACGCTGCCGTTGTGGACGTCCTTCCGAAGTGAGTATTGCTCCATACTGCGACGCAGCTTGCGCCCGGGGAACTTTTCTAGCAGATGGCGTATCTTCGGCGCGAAGGCCCGAAAGGTCGACATCCGGTCGCTACCCTCCATCTGTTCTGTCGAATGAAAATTATGTCTAGAACCAGGTATAACTCTGTTTGTAGCTATTCTGCGTTCGATTTGCGTGATCGATGGGAGGAGAGGCCACGGCCGAACAGAACACCGAAATCTAGCGCTGTATGTTTCGTCCCAATCGATTTCGGATTGCTTGATTTTCGCTGTGATCGGAAGACTGGTAAGCCGTTGGAGTATTTCAGTCATTGTAGGTCGTTGGTCGGCTTCCTGTTTCCAGCAGTCTTCGATGAGCATCCAGACGGTATCCTGGGATGCTGTTTCTGGCCTCGACGGGCGGTGTCCATTAATAACATTTATAGCGACTGCCATTTCGTTTATCACGTCGAAAAATGGTGATTTTGCAGTTAATATCTGTCCCAAACATGAATTTAGAAGAGAAGAATCACTGGAATTTCGACCGACCTCATAGCAGACGCAAGCGAACGCGTAAACGTCCGATCCAAAGTGGATTGAACTTTTGCCAGAGAGCAATTCAGGTGCTTGATATCGTACAGTACCTCCCCCGGGCCGTGGAATGGCAGTCGAATGTGTAAACCGCAATGACATCTCCACAGCAATTGCAGACAGGCCGAAATCAGCAATACATGCTCTATTTGCTGGAGTAACCAGAACATTCATCTGTAACGATAGACAGTTGGAATGTAGGTGGAGAGAAATAAAGCAACATACAGCCTTCAAATCTCCATGCACCACCTTGTTTCTGTGTAGATATTCAAGTCCCCTTGCCACATCCAAAATCTGGGCACGAAATGTGAACGCTGTACAACGTTGACAAAAAAAAAACCGACAAGAGAAACACGATCGATGGTGGAGGGGGCGTTTTTCAAGAATTGTAGAAGGTGACCATGTTCCATCCATGGCGAAACAAGACATAGCCTCGTGTCGAGGTAGTATAGCCCGAAAAAAGGCAGCAAGTTGGGGTGAGAAAGCTGGCGCCAAAGGACAGCCTCGCGACCAAATTCCTGCGAAACAGGTCAGCGAAACCGGCGTCTGCAGAGAAAATAAACTAGACCTTGAGTGCCTCTT